TCTTAAAGGCTGAACCCCTTTGTGATTGACAGCACTTTGGAAATACACACCGGCATCAGCGAGTGGAGTCTTCTGACAGAGTGCCGTCCAGAGTTCCTGATTTCCATAAGCCATACAGCTCATTTACACTGTTAAACCCATCTGAAAATCTCTGAGGTGTGTGTTGCTGTGGCTCTACGGCATGAGTGTGGTTGAAAAATGGCTTCAATTAAATGTTCCTTTTATAAGTTACTGCCTCGCTACAATATGACACATGTTATGATGTAAACTTAAAGTGAGCTTCCCCTGTTTGAAAGACCAGCAGCCGCCACTGGTCCATATCCATGTTTGTTTTCTTTTCATTGAGAGGAGAAATTAATAAATAAATCCTTTTTTTATTAATTTACACTTTCTGGCTATACTGTAATAAATGGTGTAATTTTGGCAATTTTTAAATAAAAAATGCCTTCAAAACCGACAAAGACACTCTGCTAACAGACGTTTCTGCTCGACGCCATCTTCTTCAAACACTGTCAAGTTAGCCACAGGAAAGAATAGAGCTTCCGGGGCAGCTCAGCTGCTCTCCTTCAAAATAAAAGTCCACATGTTTTTCGTTATTACTGTGAAAACCTCCCACAGGAAAAGTAGACTTTAAAGAATGACATTCATTGAACTTGAGGGTTCATTCTTCAACTTGGAAACAAAAGGTTCAGGGTGCTGCTCCAGCTGTAGTGGCCGTCCTTCTCCAGCACCCCGGGGCTCCTGCTCTCCTCCCAGCTGCTGCTGCTGCTGCTGCTGCTGCCGTCCACCTTCCAGGCCAGACTCCAGTCTGAGGGGAAGCCCTTGTTGGCCAGGCACATGAGCGTGGCCTTCCCCTGCTGCAGCTCCTCTCTGGAGGGGGGCAGCACCGTCAGGGTGGGACGGACATCACCTAGGAGACACCAATCAGCTTAGAGGACAGGGACCACACAGCTGTCAATCAAACACCAGACACTTGGACACCTTTGCTGTGTGAGAGCGGATTTTCTCCTTGAAGGAGTTTCTGTCAGATGCTTTTTCTGCTCCACCAGTCACTCACTCACTCACACATTGTTTCACTTCCCTTTCAGAAACCTCTCATGCATATCAGCACAGAAAGAGTCCTCATATGACCTGAGAGATATCAAACTACACTGGAAATAATAGAATCACAGCTTCATTATCAACACTGAATATATTTTCACTCATATATTCTTTAGTTCAAAGTCCTGGTACATTTATACAACATATTTACTGTCCAAACTCTCAACAGGACAAAAGTCAATCAGATCCACTGTTAAAGGACATTATCAGCCAAAAATAACTCACCACCAAATTTAAATTGTTCATCAGACAGATTGAAAAACACAAATAGCATCAGAGAAGAGTCAACATTATTTCAAACTGAGGTTAAAAGACAATTTGAGCCATTTTACAAGATGAGAGATTTGGCAGCATTTCTGCTTCATTCTCAGGGTTTGAAATCATTTCAACTCAACTTCAAAACAGTTTTAAAGGCTGAATTTAAAACATGTATAAAGTACGAGTGTTGTTCTCTAATCTTTCCTACAGTTTAAGTTGTTCACATTTCACAAATTCAACTGAATGTTTAAAGAGAAGTTCAGTAAAAGTGCTTTGAGTTCAACTTCAAGGTTAAAGAGGAGAAATGAACAATGAAAGTGATTTAGATCAGTCCAATGGAAACTTATATCTACTACAAATATTCAGACACTGAAATTAAAACCTTAACTGATTTAATATTTGTGCAGAAACTTACTTCCAACATCCAGTCTGGTTCCTCCACCGAACGTGTACCACAGTGATACAAACTGATTGAGTCGTCGTACAAAAACCTCTGACTGTACAGAGACACGGCTCTCTGACTTTGTCTGACAAAACTTCAACTACAAGTCCTCAAATTCCAACTTTAAGCTAAAAATTGAAACACATGACTCTCTGCTCCACTGAGTTATTATGGTAGTTATATTTATCATTTCATTTGAAAAACAAAGTGAACTTTGTTTGATACACAACAGCTGGCCAAGAATTACAAGTTGAAATGTAAAACCACCAATTTCATTTTCTTGACAAGTAACAGACGCAAAAAAGAAAATGTTTCCTGTAACTCAATAAAATTTGTTAAAGATTGAACTTACTTCCAACATCCAGTCTGGTTCCTCCACCAAAAGTCAACCACAGTGATACAAACTGATTGAGTCGTCGTACAAAAACCTCTGACTGTACAGAGACACGGCTCTCTGACTTTGAACACAACAAACTCAACAACAACACTTCCTCTTTTGAAAAGAATTTACTATTTAACATTATAGTTATCAAACAGTGTCACAATGTTTCAGAATTAATCACATTTTTACATCTTTATTGTTAAATTTGTCTGAAAGTAAAATTGATCCCTCTCACATTAAATGAAACCAGACAGAAGACGTTGTGAACGAAAATCTTTCTGCAGTCATCAAAGCAAATCCACATGTAAATGATGAGTGACACATTCCTGATCAATCCTCTGATAAATGTATTGATCCATTGATAAACAGCATCATCAGAGTAATCCAAGTCCCTGTTGGAGTCAGTCAGAGCATTTCCATAGAGAGCCACTTTGCATCAGCAGCACCATGCTCCAGTGCTCTGGGAGAGTTTATAGTCCTGAGAGTTGAACACTGGATGACTGACAGCTGTCCTTCATGACAACAGAAGCCACAGAAATCCTCCTCTTCATCAAAAACATGACTTTGACCTCCGTCCTCATCTGGACTCTCCTCTGCTGCTGCTTCACAGGTAAAGTCCAGAGAATCAAACTCCTCTCCTCTATCACCATCCGTCCCTCTGAAATGAAGACCACAAAACCATGACGCTGCTTTATGTTTTTGTCTCTGTATCCTCAGAGTCCAGAGGTCAGGTCACAGTGACTCAGCCTGGAGCAGTGAGATCTGCTCTGGGAGGCTCCGTCACCATCAGCTGTAGGACCAGTCAGAGCGTTTATGGTGGGAGCTACTTGGCCTGGTACCAACAGAGAGATGGAGAAACTCCTAAACTGCTTATTTATGCAACTAGCAGTCGAGCATCAGGGATTCCAGATCGTTTTTCAGGCAGTGGATCAAACTCTGACTTCACTCTGACCATCAGTGGAGTTCAGGCTGAAGATGCAGCAGTTTATTACTGTCAGAGTTATCATGAGATCAACAAGTGACTGCTGCAGCTGGAAGCTACTGCAGAGACTGATACACTTCACTGAGGACACATACACACACACACACACACACACACACACACACACACACACACACACACACACACACACACACACACGCATACTGAGCATATCTGGCATCACTTCATTTACACCATCAAAACAAGAAAAAATAACCTATGCAGATGATGTCCTGTTATTTAGCACAAAATCTGTATCCCTTCCTTCAGTTATTAATCAGATCAGAAGGTAGTGCAGATTGTCAGGCGCCTCTAAATCCCATTTTAAATGTAAATCAAATCTTCTGTTTGGAACCTGCAGTCAACTTAAATCAGTCCACCTCAAGCAGCTGAAAGTTTCCTCAGATGAAGGGAACAGTTTCAGTGAAGAAGCCCAATCAGACCATTAAACTCACAACAACAGCAGTCGGCTCCACTGATGTAGAGACAAAAACCAACTTAACAACATGTGAAACACAAAAGTCCCCAAATTTCATTGAATTCTAAGGACACAGAAACTCCACATCTCACTTAACAAACCGTGGCTATCTAAAGGCAGAACATTGTGTTTGGACACATAGAGTCGACTCTTTCACGGGTCCACAGTGTTGGACAAGATCCAACAGGGGTGCAGAATAAATACAATAAAGTTCATTCATGAACCATTTTCCCAAGCGAAGATCTTATAAAAATCCAAGGTCCATCTTCTCCATGGTCACATTCACAAAGAGCTGAAGCTGTCCGTTCCACTGATAATATCCATAAAGTCTTTAAGCAATTATTTATATTAAAACAATTTGTTTTGTGTGATTTCCATTTCATCATAATGATACATTTAACTGACATTAAAGCTCGAGCAGTGATGCACTGTGTGAGCTTTGACTGTATATTTTCTATCCTTGTGCCTCAGAGGCAGACTGATGGACACCAAGGTATTTTCACATCCAGGATAGAAGACAAACTTAACATCACCTTGTCCCAAAACATCTCACTGGGGGGCAATGCCACAACAGATGCATGAGTGATCCTGCCTCACCACAGCCATGCCAACATATATGAAAGGGAGTGATCATTTTTTTGTAATCTGCATGGTGTAAAACACACCTCGCTGTGCACCATTTTTATCTGTAAAATTTTGTATCAAGCACATTTGGATACCATAGTTATGTTTCTCAGGACAGACTGCCACTGGGCTGAGGTCAGGGATACACCCAAGTCCCTCTGCCACTGATGTTTGATGGAAGCTTGGCTGTCTGAAGAGGCGAGGCACAATAACCCAAACACTGCCGAAACTTGTCTCCTTCCCAAGATGATCTGACTCAGTTTATAATCAAGTTCTCTGTTGAGCCCCGTGGACACATTCTTTGAGATGAGTGACCTTAAGTTTGATCTTAACTGTAGGTATGACAGAAATTCAGCATCTGTTAAATTATACAACTTTTTCAACTTGTTAAAGGGTACCATGTCTCCATCCTTCACAGTCTGTCCCAGTTCATTTAGACCACGCCACTGACACATATTGTTTGTCACTGGTCTGCCTCCAGCAGATCATATTAAGGATTTTACATTTTCGGGGTGATTTTTGGGTGAAACCATTACTCTGATAGACAGGCTTATCATCTTTAGATAAAATTCTTCTCTTTGATCCATATCCAACTGCCAACATCACTCTTGCATGTAAAGGCTCATGACAAAGGAAATCTAACCTTATGAACAAAATAATATAAATAAATATGCGGTATTGCTAATCCACCACTTCTTGGTCTCATCAATCTTTTCTGACTGATTCTGGGTTTCTTGTCACTCCACAAGAAACCTGTAAGTATCTTATTAATTTCTTTAAACCAACGAGAGGGGAATTTAAGCGGTATTAACAACAACTAGTTTTTCAATTTCAATTTCTGGTAAACTTTAAGCACAGTAATTTTTGTAATTTTTAGTTAAGTGTGTAAAAAATTGTCTTGGCTAATTTATGTTGTCTGTATTCACTGAATTAATGCTGTTTTCATGTTGCCTTATTGGCAAGATCTGCAAAAGAAATAGTTTTTTAACAAGGCAAAAAAGGAAAGTTTTTCATCATTTAAAAACACTAAATTTGCTATTATTCTACAACGACAGCTGTCCCAGCAGTGAAGAGGAAACAGCCTGATATGTTGAGGACAGCTCCAGTTGACTGACTCTGTGTGTTTGCATATGTGTCCTGCCTCTCTGCTCCCAGCCGTTAAGAGGCCAGTGTTGATCAGTGGCTGTCCAGGCCTTTCACAGCCACTGACACGCCGGCAGCACAATGATGATGTCACTGATTCTACTGCTGGCCACCCTGGGGCTCCTTGTTCAGGGTGAGACTCTCTTCTGTCTGAAAACTTTGCTTCAGGATGCAACCAGGTTCACCACAATGATGTTCTGCTCTGATGGAGAAACACTGAAACAAGCAGCATTTACCTTCTTCCATCTATTCTCCATGTTAAAGAAATGAGACTCTTCTGTTTGGATGTTGATCATCTTTCTCCAAGCTGGATCTGTCTCAATAACCCTTCTCCTCTTTCTCATGTTTTCAGATTCATCAGGAGAAATCATCCTGACTCAGTCTCCTGGATCTCAGTCTGTTGCTCCAGGACAAACTGTCTCCATCAGGTGTAAAACCAGTTCTAGTGTTGAAGGAAATGGCAAGAAATGGCTCCACTGGTACCTTCAGCAACCTGGAGAAGCTCCTAAACTCATGATTTATCAAGCTACAACTCGTCAGTCTGGAGTTTCAGATCGTTTTAGTGGAAGTGGATCTGGGACTGACTTCACTCTGACCATCAGAGGAGTTCAGGCTGAAGATTCAGGAGTTTACTACTGTCAGCAGAGTTACAGCCTCCCGTTCACACAGTGATACAGCGTCGTACAAAAACCTCCCTCAGCCGGAGAGGAACTGATCTGACACAACAGCTGCACTGAAACTAAAACAACACAAGTTTTACTCAGAACAAAAAATGCAGTTAAGAATGAATCACATACAACATTTATAATCTAAATATACTGTATATAAAACACTATGTATATTTTATTTATTCAGGGTTTTAACATTCTGCTGCACATCAAAGCTAAACTCTGTTGAAGAATAATTTCAATCCTTTGATAAGTTTAATTAATAGAGTATGATAACACATGAACACTAAAACTGTAAATATTATTTATTTTAAATTTTCATTGGATCTTGAACAAATTGATTATTTAAATAAATTACAATATTTAATCTCAATAATTTTTTTCATGTTGTTTAATTACTAGTTATGCGTATTACATAATTCAGCCATTTTGTGTGTTTTGTATTCCAACAAAAATATGTATTCATAATTAACAACAAAAACAATTTATGGAGTATGTAAATCAGTCACATTTTAATTCTGTTCTTTTGTCATCTCTTTATTTCTCTTTGTGGTTCTTCAGCAGAAACAGGATGTAAATATTTCCCAGTTTAAATTTGTAGATCAAACTCATTTTATTTCTCTCTATGCAGACGATATACTGCTATTTATTTCAGATTTAACAAACACTTTTCTGACTTTTGTAGATTAATTCAAATAATAATGCATGTTCTTTGGAGACACCTGAAGTAATTA